ACACTGATGTTGATTTTAGTTAATAGATAATGCTTTTTTCATAAGTGGTATGGCATATGTGATTTACATAATGATGACCAGTTGATGAGTATTTGAAGGATGGGAATATTGTGATCTTGAGTACGTTCCATTATGTTGGCTAATTGGATGATAGCCTTGGTACGACTCATTTCCTTGTCACCCTCTTTTAATTGCTATAAATGAAGATGCAGTAAGCATCTCCTTCTCTCTCTCTCATTTCTATTTTATCCTCGACTTACTTCAACAATATCTTTGATTTGTTGAATAAGCTTATATCAAACTCAATGCTTCGATCAAAGTATTTGTTTTTGAAATGTGTATAAATTGTATCCAGTATATCAATGCCAAATAACTCGATCATATCATCATCACTGGTATCAGGACAAAGTAACATGACGTGATACAATGACCTATAGTCAATTTCAATAATAAGCTTAGATGCATTCTTTGTTAACTATTTGTTTCTTCTAAAATAATACTTACATTACTTTTTGAGGGTGATGGGGTACATGTAAGTTATGTTTGCTTGCAATATCCAATGACTTCATTTTATATCGATGCCAACGATCAGTTATGTCGAATCCAGCTGGCAGATATTGGTGAACTTCAGGAATCAATCCTATTGTTAACGGGGCTGGTATTGTAGTGGTTGAATTTCGTTGGGATCCTCTTTGACTACCAAGTGCATCTTCATCTTCGTCGTCGCTATCATCACTGTTGTCGTTATTATCACCACCCTCATCTTCCATATCTTGGTTTTCAGTAGTAATTGTTGTTGGTGGTGCTGTGGGAGCAGGAGTGGAGCTGGTACCCTATGATAGCAGTTTTAATGTATATGATATATTGATCTAAATGATTTTGACAACACTATTGATTCACCTACAACAATAAACAATAACAGCTCTTCTCTACTAATTCGATCAAATATTTTGGAAAACACTATTCATCATCATCAAACAAAAAAACGCAGACTTGAACCATCACTTCAACCTTCTACTGGATATGACTTGTCACTGAATGCTAACTCAATGATGTCTTGTTATATCGATGCATTTGTGGAAATGATTTGGCATTGTCTTTTACCACGTATCAACCCAACTCCTTTTGATTCAACCAACATATTTGATAATATACTTATAACATTTGAAATGACACATACTCTACGTCGACGTAATGCATCTAATCAAATGAGATCTTTTATTTATCAAAATATGCCAAATTTCAAAAGAGGTCAAATGCACGACACTTGTGAAATCGCCATCCAATTCATCGACCAATGTTCGCAACAGTTCAAGGATCTTTTTATCATCAGACGACAACGTATCAATGAGTGCCCTTATAATCAAAAGCATATTTGTTTTATGGATACTTCGACAGATCCATATTCAACATTCAGCTATGTAATCGAGCCAAATCCAACTAGTTTGATTGCAGCAAAGGTTTTAAAAGGGTCTCCAGAAAATTTCACCGAATATTTTGAAAAGCATCTACTGAGACTCAATATGGACAAACGTTGTTTCTTTTGTCAAAAGCCAGCAACTACATATTATCTACCAACACATCACCTCCATCCTTTTCTTTTCTTCCGTGATAACACGTTTTTACTCCCTGAAGAAGAAGGTAATATTCCATTTCCATATGATATGCAATTGCTATTAAACAACAATTATCGACTTATTGCCATGATATCATCAACGGAAAGACTTGGCTATCATTTCAAAACGACAGCTGTAATTGAAACACCAAATGGACCGTTTATTGCTAGTATGGATAACATGAAAAGACCAGGAGTAAAGGTTCTTAGTGAAAAACTGGAAGAATTCAAAGGCATTTTCGCCAAAATCACCTATCCAGTACTTGCTTGTTACCAGAAAATATAAACTATATTGAAATCTTATATAAAGAAATAAACATATGTGTTATAACAATATTATATATATATATATGTGAGTGTGTATGTGTGTGCATTATGCAAAATTTTTTTGTATTTATAAGATGTAAAATATACAATGTGTTAACATGAAGGTGAGATGTGTCATGGTGCACATTTTTTTATTGCTTTATCCTCATAGTGCACCAGTAATGGTGCACTATTAGCTAGTGTGACTCGTTTTTTAGGTGCACGATGGGGCGGATGCAAAAAAGTAGTGCACGATTTTTCATCGCCCTCTAATTAGAGGCACCAGAGAACGATCAACAACCTTTTCCTTCCCTCCCATCAACTTTTTGTTAATCGATCACTTTCAATTTCTGTCATCATGACGTTCAATTTTACTTCTTACATTCGAGATCATGCAGGTCCTTCTTTTGATATTGTTGGCTGCTTTCGAGCATCGAAATTGACAGACCAGGAAGCAGCAGAAAAAGAATTCAAGAAAGCCGTTAAGACTGTTTCATATTGGAAAACAAGCGCAGCTCAATCGTGGGCATTAGAACAAGTTCGTAACAAGTTCCTTGTAAGTTCTCTAAATTAGAAGACAAAAACGTAGAGGTCAACAAGTTCTTACATACTTTTATACTATTAGATCTTGAGTAATGTTGATTTGCAGTCATATTGGGTTGGAACGACTAAAAGCGTTGCGATCTTGAAAGGAAAAAGAACATATTATGAATTCTGTGGAGAAGCATCTGGGTCAGTATGTACAGTAGACCCCCTTTAATGTCAACCCCTTTAATGTCAACCCCCGATATGGTCAACCTTTTTCTGAGAACCTCACATTTTAGCAGAGATAAATTTCAACTTTTACATAAGGTCAATGTCAACACCTTGGCCAGGGTTGACTTCTTATTGAGGTCAAACATATCCAATCAAAAGAGGTTATTTCGTTGTTGGTTGAAAATACATTGTTAGGAACGACTCTGTTGCATACATACATTGTGTCGGGGTGCGCTGGTTTAATATTTTTGTTATACGGTTAAACTTTGTGCCACCCCCTTTAACGTCAACCCCCGTTAGCGTCAACACTTTCAGGTGTACTTGAGGGTTGACATTAAAGGGGGTCAACTGTAACCATTTCATTATTGTTTTCAAAATTATAAATGTTTTTATTTTACTAATTCAGACTACATTTTCTAGTTATCAAACGTTCGCGAGGAATCACCCCTCATGTATCTACGACCTGAGGATAATGCCTCTAATTCTGCTTATTAGAATATGTCTTTATTTAAATGAATAATGAATACTTGTTTGGAAAGTTAGAAACTAATGTGTAATTAACTTTTCTTTATTAGTGTCTTCTCAGAATACCGAACAACTTGAAGAGGAAAAAGGCGATGCTCTAGTAAAAAGATGTGATCTCCTCTATAATTAAATATACTTTATTTTTATTATCTATTATTAACTTCTTGTTCTATTATTATCTTAGATCTCTGACAGCGAAACCGACGATGGCTCTTTCAACCCTGATAGCCAAAGTGAATGTTCATCAGAAACTTCAAAAATCTGTTGAAAACAAAAATTTGCCTATGATTACTTGGTTGGTGGTGGTTTGGAACAATATGATCGCCCATCTAATTGCAAAAAGGTTGGTATACTTCTATCCTCTCTCTCGAAAAAACCATGAGATTTATTTCGTGCTAACTAACCTCTGTTAAATAGTAGATCAGTTCGGATATGGATCTGGTAGATGAATTCTTAAAGTATCGGTCGGATGCCGTGAAAGAGGCAAAGGAGCTCGAATTGTTATCAATAGTTGATAGATTGTAAGTCTGTGTGTGTTAATTCAGCATGTACAAATCGACTATTAAAAGACCCTGAATAGCTAATATGATGTGATTGTGTTTAGGGCACTTAACTTTATCTACTACATTACACCATCGTCAGCGATTGGAAATAAAATGGATCCATTTGTCTGGTCTACTATGGTCAAAAGTGTCAAAGCTGAGCATCGTATAGACGATATTAGTAATAAATATGTTTTATGGATGATGAAGATTAGTCAGGTAAGTAAATAATATATATCATATTTATATTTATCAAAGCGAATATATATATTTATACTTGCTACTATATATAGGCTGCCAGAAGAAATATTGATGAAGCAAAGACATTGGTCAGAAAATGGGCAGTAGAAGATGATTCAGAAGAAACCACACTGTATCAGGACATCTTATGTGACATGTAGGTTTAAATATTGACGATGCTGGATACCTATATTAAACAACAGAGGCTAATAGTCCTATTTTTATTTATTTATGTATTTATTGAAGGTTCAAATCGTATTCCGATGTATATGATCCATCAAAATTTAATGAAGACACGTTTGTCAAAGATACCCTCACACCCATCCTTAAGAATTACTTTCCAAATGACCAATTGATAAGTACAGAAGGGTATATATATTTATATATAGTTATTATTATAAAATAGTATATCTATAATGAGGATCTGATCTAACATATGAATAAATAAATTAATACATAGCACAAATGGCGAAATCATTGGATCGAAAGAAAGAAAGAAAGTATTTGGTTCCGAATCAGGTGGAAAACAAGGAGATTTTATTGTTTATACGTGTAATGGAGCCAAAAGCCAACTACTTTGCTTAATGGAATGTAAACCTCCACGAGCAGGAAATAGCGACGATCTGTTCAAGGCAGCAAACTGTCTAAAAGATTGTATAGAAAAGTCTGTTAGAGATGGTGTTGATTGCAATGACTTCGAATTATATGCTATTGTATCTGAAGGTATATTTAGACTTTATTTTTATGTTGTTATCTATTTATGTATCGTCAAAATTGGATCTGACTTTCTTGTTTTGTTTTATAGGATACCGTTGTCGTGTTCTTTGTCTAGATTTAAAGTATCATGGAATGTACAGATTGGTAGATGTGGGCACGTTTCATATTCCTACAAGTATTAACAACATGGACACTATGCTCGGTGTATTTCAAGTAATGAATCATGTACGAGTAAGTTACTATGATTATTTTACTACAAGTGGATTTGAATAAGGAGGATAGGCTCTGATTAAATTACTTTTGTAGATAATGGTTTTAGAAGCTACAAGATTATGTAAAAAAAGCATCAGAATTAAAGAAAACAACAGCCAAGACATGACACTTCCTTCGTTCGATTCGCTGGTTCGCATTTTGGAATATAATGTATATCGAGATTGATATGGTTGGTATCCATACAAATCACTTATTATAAATATACTGTTTGTATTTTTAGGTTTTAAAGATGTTACAAAATAATGAAAAAGCTCTTGATCGTGCTCGTTGCAAATTGTGCTTTAAAGAAGAATAAGTAAATATAATCCCTTTTTTATTCTTATATATCTTATTCTGATGATTAACTTGTACGTTTCTAGAAATGAAAATAATGTATATGAAAAATTAAGAATGGTCCAAGGATGAAGCTATAAAAAACATTACTGAATACGTAGCCAGAAGGAACAAGCACATGTAACCAAGCTTTTATATCATTAGCAGTGCGGTCCCTGTTTGGAGTTCAAATTAGACGTCACTTCTTTATATCAAGGAAAGCTTGTTTCTGATTTTTTTACTCAATATAAGATGTAGTTATAGCACCTCATATGAATTAATTAGATTTTTTAATGCTTCATTATTACGTATTATATAAACTTTGCCATCCAAAACCGGTTGTTATTGAAATACATGCTGTCATATATATAAAGGATATTGTTGAATAATAAATAAATTTTGGAAACTGAAAGTATTAAGCAGAAGGATTATTTTGATATTTATTAAAGGATATCTACTAGATTGTGAATATTACCAATTACGTGGGTGCGATTTATAGTGGACATTGGTACCATCTTATATTAAAGGTTCTCATTATATGCAGTACATGCTTTTGTCAAAAGTAAATCTTATTATTCTATAGGTATATATCAGTTTAATTGAGCATGTAATATGGACAACTTTCTTTAGCAGCCAATTGACAGAACAATATGTATCTTTTATTTTTTACAGTGTGGCAAGGACAACTGTATTATCCAAACAATTACTATTCTTGTCCCCAAATATTACCTATATCTATATATATATACAACACCCAACAAGAAATATATGCGTGATCAGTTCTTCGCTACCTTATGATAGTGTAAGATAATACCCTCTTTGCAGTATAACCTTTATTACAGTAGTTAAAAATAATAATAAACCATTTATAATACTTTTTTTAAGGGCTTATAATATGTCATAAGAGTGGGTTATGGATAAGATATACTTCTATGGATAAACGGAACCTTAAGATGGATCCAAATAAAGAAGGCAGAAAGTGTATGCATATAACGCAGGCCCTTATTATTTACATTTTCTTAGCAAAGAGATGTAGGCCTAAGCTAAATAAAATTGATTGCTCAGCTTCAGATTTTCCTTCACTAGAGTTTATCAGGCCATAGGTACACTTATTCTTAGTACCTTTTACAGTGTCTAGATGCTTTGCTGGTTTTTTGTATTCCTAGAAAAAAACAATACTTATTATCAGCTACTGAAGATATAAAAAAAACAACTACTTAAAAATAATTCAGTAATACTTACATACAACAATGAACTTATGGCAGCAACAGTGGTTACATCAAACATTTTGGTATTATCATACAGTAGACTTGTAAAATGGCTGTACAATGCAGCTAAAATTTTTTTAGTAAAGTGTTCCCTGATCATGTCTGAATGATGGAATTCTTTTAACAGCAAGATATCTTCAATGGCTCTAATAAATAAAGCATTTATGATTATGAGTATATGTAATACGAAATTATCACTTCGTCAACAGTGTTGCCTAGCCATATATACAGAATTTCGTGGACATCACTTTCCAAACACACTCCTTCATTATTACTTACGATCTCTCCTGCTTCTCTTTGGTACGAATAAAATATATCTATAAGTGTGATATTGTGTGCCTTCTTATTTGGCGACTCCTGCTGATAGATACACAAAAAAAGTTAAATTCATTTTTAACTGTAACAATATAACATCTCTTATTTTTTTTATACATAACAAATAAATACCTCTGGTTCTTCATCACTTCTTCTCTTTCGATTCTGCAGTTAAAAAAACAATATTGTGTCAATGAAACTTGTATGTCACTCAAGGTTGGTTAGAAATATATCATACGAAACAATTACTGAATTACTTATGCTATTGCTACTACTATTACTACTACTGCTTTCTGCTATCACTACTTGTACTGCCTAGGCTCCTTGAATTGTACGATCGTACTAAATATATTACTCTCTCTGCTCCAAGTTTTACAGCTCTACCTGTATATATCATTGTTGGATGTGTCCTAAGACAATTGACAGATAAAATTTATATTCTAATCTTTGAAACTTATTAAATAGTAAAAATTAAATATTTTTAATAATATTGAAAATGTTTACTGAGCCTTATATAAATTTAAAAAAAGTATTTAATAATGAGGATACAGCATTATTATATTTGATAAATAATAATTATATTAATAAATATAAGGAATGTTCATATTGTAATAAGAAAACAAAATCATATTTAAATATGAAAATTTATAGATGTAGAAATTATAAATGTAGGAAAGCATTTTCACCTTTAAAAGGAACAATATTTTCAAAAATAAAGCTTCCTCTGGATTTACAATTACATATATCAAATGATATCTTATTAAAAATGCTATATAGTAGTATTGCTGCAACTTTACAAATCAATAGAAATACTGTAACATTATATCATAAATTATTTAGGAAGTATTTAAAAGATAGATTACATTTTAATAAAAACATAAAAATAGGAGGTCAGAATTAAATTGTTGAAATAGATGAATCAAAAATTGCAAAAAGAAAAAATAATAAAGGTTATAAAGTTGAAGGTGCTTGGGTTATTAGAGGCATTGAATGAAAGTCTTTTAAAAAATAAAATAAAAATAAAAATAAAAAAATTATTTTTAGCTCCTATAAAAAAAGGGATATTATTGGTATTGACAAAAGTATTGTAAAATATGTTAAAAAAGGAACAACAATATATACAGATGAATAGAGAGGCTTTAATAATTTTAAAAATATAGGATATAAACATAAAACTATAGATCATAAAAAATATTTCAAAGATCCAATAACATAAGTTCATACAAATACAATAGAAGGAATATGGAATGGATTAGATAAAGTATTAATCTAAAAAATAGAAATAAGAATGATATTCTATTATATTTAAGGGAATATTAATGGAGAAAATATAATAGAGAATATAATATTTGGAAACAATTTTTTAAAGATTTAAATATAAAAATTTTTTACCAACGGAAAAGACGATTGTTATCGGGATCATGAAACATAGGACTTATTACTGGATCCAAATAATTAGTGATGAGCTCGGTTTCCTTGACAATGTAATTCTTTTCAGTCTTGGATAATTTGGTAACACTGATGTTGATTTTAGTTGATAGATAATGCTTTTTTCATAAGTGGTATAGCATGTGTGATTTGCATAATATTTACCAGTTGATGAGTATTTGAAGGATGGGAATATTGTGATCTTGAGTACGTTCCATCATGTTGGCTAATTGGATGATAGCCTTGGTACGACTCATTCCCTTGTCACCCTCTTTTAATTGCTATAAATGGAAGATGCAAAAAGCATCTCCTTCTCTCTCTCTCATTTCTCATTTTATCCTCGACTTACTTCAACAATATCTTTGATTTTCTTGAATAAGCTTGTATCAAATTCAATGCTTCGATCAAAGTATTTGTTTTTGAAATCCGTATAAATTGTATCCAGTATATCAATGCCAAATAACTCGATCATATCATCATCACTGGTATCAGGACAAAGCAACATGACGTGATACAATGACCTATAGTCAATTTCAATAATAAGCTTAGATGCATTCTTTGTTAACTATTTGTTTCTTCTAAAATAATACTTACATTACTTTTTGAAGGTGGGAGGATACATGTAAGTTATGTTTGTTTGCAATATCCAATGACTTCATTTTATATCGATGCCAACGATCAGTTATGTCGAATCCAGCTGGCAGATATTGGTGAACTTCAGGAATCAATCCTATTGTTAACGGGGCTGGTATTGTAGTGGTTGAATTTCGTTGGGATCCTCTTTGACTACCAAGTGCATCTTCATCTTCGTCGTCGCTATCATCACTGTTGTCGTTATTATCACCACCCTCATCTTCCATATCTTGGTTTTCAGTAGTAATTGTTGTTGGTGGTGCTGTGGGAGCAGGAGTGGAGCTGGTACCCTATGATAGCAGTTTTAATGTATATATGAGATAACAATTTTCATTCCAAGTCAGTCACGGTATAATATTTTTACCATCCCTATTTTGTTTACCTCTATACGATTTGAGAGCTCTTGTCCTAGTCTTTGCGCTGTTGAACGTAATACGACTGAGCCACTGATCAAAAAAGCTTGCTTTGTTTTTGTATTTTCAAAGCATCTTTCCCAGTTCACATCCGCTTGACCAGCTAATGATCTCTTTCCCTTCTTTTGATACATCTTTTGGAGTATTCGGAACTTCCGAATTAGTCCTTTTTTCGCTTTCGTGGCAGAGTTGTTTTGAATCAACCATTCGTCGATAGCATCCTGATTCTCTGTGTCTGCAACAAAGGTTTCGATATTTGGCTGGCCTCCTTTTTGTATGATATGCCAAGAATATATCTCCGAATTTCGAATGTATGTTGCTATGGGTATTAGTTACCATAGTATTAGTTGCTAGCTTCTAAAATGCATAAATTATAGCTTACTAGTATTCAAGGTTGCCATGGTTATTGTTACTGAGAAACCTGAAAGTAATGTGCAGTCGTGTGTATCTCCTTTTATATGAGAGGCGGACATCCCAAAGATATTAATTACGAGCACTTGTTCAATAGAAGGGAATAGAACAGTCTCGCATATATGATACACTGTTCGTCCCATCACGCAGTACGCCTCTGTCTAAATTGCGACACACGTGACTGCAGAGAAAATAAACTCTCACTTGGGGGGATCTTCCCCCTGAAAAAGGAAGCGAATAGAACAAGTCCTGTTACATTCTAACTTCCCGATTACTTTAGTTAATTGTATTATCTATTTACGAACACTTGTTCAATAGAAAGGAATAGAACTGTTCTTCGCATGTATGATACACTGCTCGTCCAATCACGCAGTACGCCTCTGTC